CTCTAAGAAGTTGTAAGTTTTATCCTACAAAGCAGTTTACTGCATCAGCAGGCCAGCAAGGGCCGGAGGAGGGATGTGATCCAGATTAGCCTTGGGAACTACGAAACTGCCCTTCTTCTCACTGCAGATGCACGGCTGATTTTCCAGTTTTTCATTCTAAACCTGAACACCTTGACTTGGGTGGATAACTTGCACAGGTTCACCAAGACACAGCTCTGCTCCTCTTCCTCGGTCTCTCCACATTCAGCTGTGTTTGGTAACATAAGGCACCCACAGCCCCTCCAGAACAGCAGGGTTAACAGTGATGATACTCTGTCCTTCAATGCCAAGCCTCAAAACAGGCCACCAAGCCTTGGACACAGTATCTTGCCTGGATATTGGCAAAAGCAAATCCTTTGAAATGCTGGAACTCACAACTGCAATTCATGTCTCCAAAATGTAGGAATTTATGCCCTTGGCATGGCATTAGAACTATTACGCTAACACAGCACTAGGACAGATTCTGCCCTGAAACACTGACTCTGACTGGGCAAAGCTCCCTGCCTTGGCTTTCCAGAGACACTTCTGCAGAGAACACACCGTCAGCAAAGCATGTGGGCCTTCTTAATAATAACAAAATATTGTACAGGACAGCCACAAAGAAGAGACAAAGGAACAGAGAACAGGTACAGACCAAATACCAGTGGGTTTTGGATGCTACATTCCCATTCCCCTCCTTGCCAGCCACTGCTTTCTTTCCAACCACCAGAAGGAAGGACCCTTCCCAAGGCAAGGGAGGAGTGTCTTGGTGGTGTCACAGAAGGGGACACTTTGGCAGCATTAGCAGAGAGCACTGAAGAGGAGCTCCACTCTGTGCCACACCTCTCACCAAGAGCAGCACAAAGCCACTGCTGTGGGGTTCCTGACAGAGAGAAGCCTCCAAAGTCCTTCCCCATTACTGAAAAAGTGCAACAACCTGCTGTTAAATGACAGTTTAACTGGGAAAGGATTAAGCTGTTGAAATCACGTAATTTGGAACAAAATATTTTTGTTTCAAGAGGCTTTTTTTAAACAGAGACAACCAAGAATGTAGGTGTCTTTAAATGACAACCCAGCAAGCCAGTACAGTCTGTACAGCCAGAGATGTTGGCACCATTCACACTCCAAAGTGAGACCATTTCTGAATGAAATGACGGCTAAAAATTATGGTTATTTTATGCAGTGGGATTGCATGACTTGGTCACAACAGAAAACTGCTCCTCATGTAGACACAAGCCCACTCCCCCGTTCAGCTCACTGAACCCTCCAGAGTGGCATGGAGCTCCTGGCCTGGCAGAAGTGGAGCACCCAAAGGCTCACTCACAGCATGGTTTGTGCCTGCAGCATTAATGTACCAGCACCCTGTAACCCCACCGGGCTGGACACAGCCTCTGTGCCACGGAACGTGCCCACAGAGCCCAGGCCACTGCCCTCCCGGCTGCCAGCCTGTGCCAGGCACCAGCTCAGCAGGGAGGCCTGTTAGAAAGATGGGGACAAACTTCTCAGTAGGGCCTGTTGGGACAGGACAAGGGGTGATGGCTTCCCAGAGCCAGAGGGTTAGATGGGATACTGGGAATTGGGAATTGTTCCCTGTGAGGTGGGCAGGTCCTGGCACAGGTGCCCAGAGCAGCCCCTGGATCCCTGGCAGTGCCCAAGGGCAGACTGGATGGGACTTGGAGCAGCCTGGGACAGTGGAAGGTGTCCCTGCCTGTGGCAGGGGGTGAAACAGGATGAGCTTTAAGGTCCCTTGCAATCCAAGCCATTCTGGGATTCTGTGATTAAAGCAGCAGGAAATACTGCTGATGGGATTTCACCCTGCTTGTAATCCCCCTTTCTGGGGCAGCTGCAGCTAACTGGACTTGGTTACCTCAATCCACTCTCTGCTTGGTACAGGAGATGCCATCCTCCTTTATTTATACCCCTACATAATTAAAATCCAACTTTTAAAGTAACTTCAATTGCAGTAAAACTACCAGATCTTGTTATCAGAAACACTGTAGCAGGATTTAAATCTCTACTTGAGCATGTACACTATGGAGCTCATTTTGAGCAGAGCCAGATTATTGGAAGCAAATAACTGCCAGTCACTGGGTAGGCCCTGGTGCTGCTGCATCATCCAGGCCGGGGCAGGAAGGGACATGCATGGAAGGGACACGAGCACTTTTTCTGCAGATAATTCCCCAGCAGCTGGAAGGTCAGGCATGACTGAATCCCCCCATTCCTAAAGGCGCAGAGGGCAGGCAGGGCACAGGCAGGGTGCAGGAACAGGCAGGGCACAGGAACAGGCAGGGCACAGGCAGGGTGCAGGAACAGGCAGGGCATGGGCACAGGCAGGGTGCCGGAACAGGCAGGGTGCAGGAACAGGCAGGGCACGGGCACAGGCAGGGATGGGCACAGGCAGGGCACGGGCACAGGCAGTCCTGCTGCCCGTGGGCTGAGCCCCTGCACACCCAGGCAGGCAGTTTGGGCTCAAACCTGCACCTGCCTCTGTGGCCAAACAAAGAGTCAGAGTCAGGACCTGGATGGCCAGGGGTGCGCTGGGTGCTCAGGGTGGCAGGCCTTCCTCCTGCTCCACTCCCCACAGCACTCGCTACAGATTAGGAGAAGTAATCATGGCATTACAGATTGTCTGTGTTAGAAGAGACCTTAAAAATCATTGAGTTCCAATTCTCCTGCCCTGGGCTGGGATCTCATTCATTAGACAAGTTACTCCAAGCCCTGTCCAAGCTGACCTTGAACACTTTCAGAGATGGAGCAGCCACAACTGCTGCTCCATCAGTAAACAAGTAAAACAGATTCATCTGTTGTGTGATGCTGAAAGCACTTTAAACCACAAAAGAAAGCTGAAGAACCATACAAACCCTCCTTCCTTTCTGGGGTAATCTCTTTCTGTGCAGGTCTAACATCCTGCTCTGGTGGCTCCTCTCCTGCCAGTCCCATCTCACTGCCCAGGGGTACAGGCAGAGCATGGGTGACCCCTGCACAGGGACAAGCTGGTGGGACACAGCTCCATCAGCCAGGCAGCAGCAGGAGAAAAACAGCTCTGCCACACATCCACTGCAGGCACTCCAAGCTCAGCACCAAGTAGATAAATTCCTGCTGCCTTAGGGACACATCCTGACCTTCACCTTCCAGCCACTGCCAGGCCGACTCCTGCGTTCTGCTGCAGGATGAACAAGATCTCTCCTCCCTCCACACCCCAGCCCTGGGATGACTGCAGTGCTCACTCCAAGTCCCCAGGGTCCTGCCTCACACACAGATTCCCCTCCTGAGAGCCTCGAGCAGAGGCCATGGCTCCCACCTTGTGCTGGCCACCACCCCTCCCTGGTCAGCACAGGCCAGCCAGCGCTCGGCACCACACGGGCAGGATGTGGCACCAGGGGACGGCCACAGAACGAGCACTGACCCCCGGGGACAGCCCCAGTGCTCAGGGGGCATCCAGTGCCTCCCACCCGGCACACATCAGCGTCACCGCCGACAGGGCTGCGGCAGCACCGGGCTGCAGAGCTGCCTTACAGCAGGGAAAAACACCCGTCTGGTTGTTGCTGGGACCCACTAGGAGCAGAGGGAGGAAACAAGATGAAGAAAAATAATGGAGAAAGGTTAGGCTGAAAAAAACCAGGTGAAAGAAGAGCCACTGCAGAGGAACACAACTGAAATGCGAGAAGGCAGAAAGAGCTGGTTTAGGGGGCTCGAGGGACACCAACTGCTCGGGCTGGGACCAGACTCCAGGGTGGGTTTATGGACTCTGCGCAGCGCTGGGTGCCTGAATGCCTTTGAAAATGTGTCTCAAATTTTCCAGGATAGCTACGTAAAACTAAAGAAATGACAAAAACGAAGCTCAGAACTCTTGCTCCGCACATCTCGTAGGATGGAACAGAGAGGTGAGGCTGCTGTGCTCCCACCCAGCACCAAACCTGCTCCTCACAGGAACATGGCCCAGCAGGGAGCACGGCCCCGCACGGTCACTCTGCCCGGGACGGCCACCCCTGCCCGGGACTGCCACCCCTGCCCGGGACCCCTGCCCGGGACGGCCACCCCTGCCCGGGACTGCCACCCCTGCCCGGGACCCCTGCCCGGGACGGCCACCCCTGCCCGGGACCGCTCCGCCCCGCCGCGTGCCCCGGGCCGGTCCCGACCCCGCCGCTTTGTCCCGCCCGGCCGAACAAAGGGCGCGGGGGCGGCGCGGCCCCGCCGCTCCCGGCCCCGCTCCCCGCCGCGGTCCCGGTGCCCCCGTCCCCGGCCGCACCTCTTGGAGCAGTCCAGCAGCACGCCGGTGAAGCGCCGCTCCCCGCAGCTCAGCGTCACCACCAGCGTGTCGTTCACCATCTGCTCCACCAGCACCGGCACCCACGCGCCCACCCGCGGCGGCGGCGCCCCCGCCGCGTCCCCCGCCGCCGGGCATGACGTCACGGGCCCGCCCCGCTACCGGGCACGTGCGTGGGACGGGGCGGGGGCGAGGCCGGGAGAGGCGGGGTCTGCCTGGGAAGGGCGGGGCCAGGCTGGGGGCGGGACCGGCACCTCGCGCCACCTGGCGGCCGAGCCGCGCTCCTGCACCCGCGGGGTTCGGTTCCTGGCCAGTGCTCCTTGTCCTGGCTCTGGCACCGGCCTCTGGCAGCCCTGGGGGAGCTTGGCACGGGTTGATGGGGTCCCCTCTCAGCCCTCCCTTGTCCGGCCTGAGCAGGCCCAGCTCCCGCAGTCTCTCCTCATCTCAGAGATGCTCCAGTCCCAAAATGACCTCTGTGGCCTCTGCTGGACCCTCTCCAGTGGCTCCTGGACTTTCTTGTCCTCAGGAGCCCAGAACAGGGCACGGCAGTGCGGATGTGCCTCACTAGGGTTGAGTAGAAGGGACAGGCTCACTCCCTGCTGGCTACGCCCTTCCCCGTGCAAATACTGATCCAAATGCATCCAATGCAAATATTACAAATAACATGTTTATTTTTACCAATGCTTTCTGGAAAGAGCCTGTGGGTTCCCAAATTGCTGACAGACTGAAGCATGCCTGAGCCAGTGGAATCCATACGGTTTCTCTGCTGTGACTGAAGCTGAATTCTCAGTGTACTCAAAGGGCTGAGACCCAACTGTGTCAAGCAGAGACTTGCCAGAAAGGCTGATAAACGATTGCTCCCATGAGCAGCACTGTGCTTCCTTGCTTCTGTTAGTCCAAGCAGCAAAACAGCAACAAAAAAATCTCAACTTAGTTGGAGTTTGGTATCATTTTTATGGAACTCTGTTGGTGTTTCAATTGCCACGTCAAGGAGGGTCCATGAGCCAAAATCCCGGGGCTGCCTTGGGAAGATGTTGAGGGTAGGACACAGGCACAGAGGGAAGTTCTGATGTCCCCAAGGAGAGAAATCAGAACTCATTTTCAGAAGGAAAAGGATACTTTGAAGCATCCTCCCAACGCTGGCAATGGTGTTCGGGAAGGTCAGCTGGTGTCCCTGCAGAGCTCCCTGTCACTCCCTAAATCCAGTGACTCCAGGTGTGACTCCTTGGAATACACAGGGTAAATCCAGTGACTCTTGGGTCCACCTGGGGCAGCTGGGCCCCCTTGGAATACACAGGATAAATCCAGTGACTCCTGGGGCAGCTGGGCCCCCTTGGAATACACAGAATAAATCAGTGCCCAGCCATCAGCATGGGCAGAGCAGACAGACATACCCACACCTTACAGACATCCAAAGGAGACCTTTCCAGAATGAACCCAGCTGGCTTTGATGGGATGTCCCTTTTCATTTCCCCCTCCTGCTTTCTTCATTCCCATGCGCTGTTTGACATGCTGTTCCAGTCTGTTTTCTCTGAGGGATCTAAGTAAACATGGTAAAATTATTATTTCAGTTGCTTTGCTTAATATAGTAACTTTCAATGAACATCAGACCTGTCTGGCCGCAGCTGTGGGGTCTGGAACCGCCTCTCATTATGAGACAGATTAATGCTGTGCATTTTCCCTTAAAGCTGATGAAAGTTCCCCTCCATTTACAGGCACTTGTTCAGTGGTTGTATCCTGAGAGGATCAGCTGGAACACACCTGTACATTAGTCAAGACAGAGCCTCAAGTACAGACACACTAATTTTTAGAAGTGCAGAATGGAGCCAACCAACGCATAGGAAAGCCAGCAGGACGTGCCCAGCTTTCCCTTGCACAGCTGGGCTCCAAAGGGCTGGCGCTGTGTCCTGCAGCGCGGGGAGGCAGCAGGGCCCTGCCTGCCCCCGGCAGAGGTTCTGAGCCCTGCCTGCCCGGATCAGAGGGCAGTCAGTTCTCCATGAGCTCAGCTCTGCTGGGAACCACGGCTGGCTGCTGACTCAGGAGCCCCGTGGCTCACGGGTGGCAGCGCCAAGGCAAAGCCCCACCTCCACACTCCTCTCATTCCCAGACTTCTGCTCTTTGGCACTCTGCTGCCAGGCTAGGCCCTTCCCTCAGCAGTTTCCAAATTAAGCAACAAAAAAAAAAATGCCTTTGTTCTGCCTGGTTGAATGCCTTTAAACCTCAAAAATATTTTGTGAAGCAAATGATTTCCTAGACAAATCACCTTACCCGTGCTTCAAGTTAATAAATCCCAAGGTTTTCCACCAAGAGGAATTATTGTTGTAGATTAGAATCATTTTCTAGGCACTTCATTTCTGGCTGTGCCAAGCTCCCCTCTGTGCTGCTCACGGGACACCTGCCAAGTCTATTTTAGCTGCAGTGCCTGTGCTGCTGCAGCCACTCAGCTCCCAGAGCGAGAATCCCGTGGAGCAAACCCATTTCCAGAACTCTCCTCATGGCACTGTCCCCAGGGTGATGGGGCTCACACCCCCCTGACACCACGGGGAAAGCCAAGGTGTGCCATGGCACCGCGGGCACTCACCTGCCCTGCCTTCAGCACAGAAACAGGGTTCCAAACCCAAGACAATCCCTTCATTTTTCTGAAATATGTTCTAAGATGTGTCAAGTAAGAGCAGCTGCCTTGTGGTTTTTTTCCACTGTTCCACAAGTATTTGAAATTTTTGAGGTTAAATAAAGGAATATTCTCTGTCATGCCTGAGCCGGTGCTCCCAGTGCTCCCGGTGTTCCCGGTGCTCCCAGTGCTCCCGGTGCGCTCCCCGGCGCTCTCAGTGTTCCCGGTGCTCCCGGTGCGCCGGCGATCCTGTCGGGGAACGCCAGGGGACAGCATTGCCCTGCGCTGGGAGCCGCCGAGAGCGGCGCTGCCGCGGGACCCACCGAGAGCCACCGAGAGACCACCGAGAGCTACCGAGAGACCACCGAGAGACCACCGAGAGACCACCGAGAGCAGCCGAGAGCCACCGAGAGACCACCGAGAGCAGCCGAGAGACCACCGAGAGCAGCCGAGAGACCACCGAGAGACCACCGAGAGACCACCGAGAGGCACTGAGAGCAACAGAGAGACCACCGAGAGACCACTGAGAGCCACCGAGAGACCACCGAGAGCAGCCGAGAGACCACCGAGAGCCACTGAGAGACCACCGAGAGACCACCGAGAGCCACCGAGAGCCACTGAGAGCAACAGAGAGACCACCGAGAGCCACTGAGAGACCACCGAGAGACCACCGAGAGGCACCGAGAGACCACCGAGAGGTACCGAGAGGCGCCGAGAGCCCGGCAGTGCTGCAGCACCCCCGAGACCGGCACCGCTGTGCCCAGCACACGCCCCGCCGGTCCCGCAGGCTGCCGGGTCGCTCCGGGAGCCCGGGGAAGGCGCAGCTTCCTCCACCTCACAGAAAGGAGGACTAATGAGGCCGCTGGACCAGGGGTGGAAGAGCAGCACGACGATGCAGAGAGAAAACTTTCAGAAGTGAAAATACAGAACAGGATTCACAAGATGCAGAATTACAGGCATTACTCAATTCCCCCAAAAATGTTTGTGAATATTATGGGGGGGAAAACCCCCATTGCTAGTGTGGCAATTAATGACCAAATAATACAATTAAGAACAGCTCCAGTGGGTTTATTCTCTCCTCCACACAACCAGGTACTTCCCTGTTTCGGAAAGGATTCACCAACACATTCCCTCCAATAGGGTTTGTACTATGTGCATATTGCAAAATGTGACACATAAAACATTCATAAAGTGCCTTCTATACCAATGAAAAGGAACATATCTTGTCTTGTATTTATATATAGTAATTTATCATATTGCATATACTAGAAATGAAAAAATAAGTTACCTGTAGGATTTTACAGTCCCTCTATTCAGTATTATAAAATCCTGTTTGTTTTCAGTAGAAGGAATCTGGATATTCAAGGGTACAATTACTAAAATAGGAATACAAAAAGTAACAATGAGAAAATAAAAAACAGTGATAGTACTTTCAATTCTGGAGAAAAAAAAATAGTTTCAATAATAGAAAATAGAAAAGTTGGTTTGTATCCTGCAGGCACAGAGTTTATGTTGATTGGGATGGGGCGATGTGCTGTGACAGTATTCTATGCACTTATGTCAAAACGCCATTCATTCATCAAATACAGATTTGATAATGATGTACATAAAACTGCTTTTATATTTTTCAGTGGAAAAGCAGAGTTTTCCAGCATGGTCCTGGTTACACATCACAGAGGCTTGGTCACCTGCCCAGAGGAGCTGCCTTGGTGCAGAGCTGCTCTTCCCCATTCCAGTAAAATCCTGGGCTGCACCTACACCTTCATCACTGTTACATCTTTTATTGTTTCTTCCTTCAGCTCCCAAGCTCTTGGCTTGTCCCCCTCCTTAGGCCACTGTCCTGCAGAGCCACACAGGACTGTGACAGCTCAGCCAAGGCCAGCTTCCAGCAGGAGGCATTTCTGTGGGGTGAGAGGAGACTGCGGCAGGGCTGTGCACCAGCCAAACCTCCGGGGCTTCAGGCAAAACAGTGTGGGTGGTGTCAGTCAGCCCCCCATGGAAATGGGCTCATTGGTCTGTTTTCTTTCAATGCATGTTTTATTCTCATGATTTTTCACAAAGCAACCTGTGTTCTGGAAGCAACCAGCAAACTATTGATGTACATGAGCACAGCAGTGGCTTCCTTTTGACGGATAATTAATGGATCTCATCATTAATGGATTCACAGAGTTAATGGATCTCATCATTTGGCAAACCCTTCACCTGGAGTTTATCCATCCCACCATGTAGAAGCTAATCCAACTTACAATCACTTTTGTTAAGTGCTCAGTGTTTCTGACTCATGCCAAGTTTGAGAGGCCCCTGACCCCAACACCCTGCAGAAATGGAGTTCTCAGAACTGTGTCCACAGTCCTGCTGAGGATCCCTGGTGGCCCTGGCCACGGGCACAGAGGGCTGAGACCACCCCACATTGCTGCCTGAGCCTGTGCTCTGCCAGGGTCACCCAACCCCGGGCAAAGCCCACCACAGCCCCCAGCAAGGTTTAAATGTGTCAGATCCACTAATCCTGTTAAGCAGTAGGGAATTCTGAAGCAGAGCAGGGCATGCCAGCGGAAAATCCCAGCTCTGTGCTGGAATCTCTACTTTGAAGAAACAACAGAGTGGAAGCCAAGAGTGACGTAATTAATGTGCATATAAGGACTGAGTTAGAGCCATATATAACCCCAACTTCTCTCATTTGCCTGCAGCATTTACAGCCTGCCAGTGCTGACTGGGGTATAAATAAGTATTGCATGAGCTGTGTATGACTGAGTTGAAGACAGAGCTCTCTGCATGATGAATAGGAGTTAAAAATATGTTCCATGTATCAGAGGAAGCAAAAAGGCAAAGCAAACAGCTACAATAATCATTAACATACTACGAGGGCCCAGATGCAATCTGTGAGTCAAAACAAGAGAGATCTTCTAACATAATCAATTTAAATGTCAAGGCCAGATGAGATGGGGCTTGGAGCAACCTGGGCTAGTGCAAGGTGTTCCTGCCCATGGCTTTAGAGTCCCTTCCAACCCAAACCCTGCTGTCATCCTGTGATTCTGGATGTGTGACCTAATGCCATACAATGATGATAACCACGAAGTGACAGCTTTTGCACACCTTGCATTTCACCCCAGCCAGCATCTCAGGTTAAAAAAAACGTAGCCTTATTTCAAATTACACCTTTATAGGTACAGAACTGAACTCATCCAGTGATCCTTCATATTTTCCTGCTGCTGATTCATTCGAGGGTACATTTGCACTGTGCTCCAAAGCCTGGCTTGCGCACTGGGGGCTGTGCCAGGAATTCTTCGGGTGCCCCTGGAGGTGCCCAGCTCATCCGCTGACCACCCCAGCACTCAGCCACCCTCCCTGTGCCCAGAGCTGCTGCTGTCACTGTGCTGGGGAGGCTGGCTCTGTCCAAAGAAACCTTGGCTCTCTCTGAGCTGCAGACTCGGGGTTCCCTGGGTCCCGGAGCAGACCCACCCTGGGGCTCCCCCTCGCTCCTGTGCTCACAGCCGCAGCAGCAGCGCTGCCAGCAGCTCCAGCATCCCTGCAGCAGCCTGGAGCTGCTCTGCTCCCGCCCAGCACTCACAGATGGGCCACGTGGGAGGGAGCAGAAACTCGCCTGTTACAGAAGGTTCCCAAACCTCATGTTCATGCCCACAGATTCTAAATATTAAGACCATGGGAATATTTTTCTTTAAATACACACTGTGTAAACTACCATTAAACGTGATCACAGGACTAAGCTACAACGCTGTTCTAGACCATCATTTACACTTGGTTTGTTGTTCCAGCCTGTGTGAGTTAAACAGAGCACAGCACAACTCCATGTACTCCTGTACGGACAAAAATCAGCAGGAACAACACTTGATTTGCTGTTTTAAAGAACAGTAATCAAATCCTGAAAACTTTCAAGATTGTGCCTCACTGAAGGGGAGTTAAAAGCCAAAATCACTAGCTGGAGTGATTCAGGTAGGCTGTTTGTTGGAAAGGAAGGCTGTGACAAATGGCAAGGGAGCTTGGGAAAACAACAGCAATAGTCCACTTTACCACACAAACAACACACACTTGTCACCTTTGCTCATTTCCAAACCAAACTCATTAAAATTCCAGTATTTACCAAAACTCCTGAAACACTCAATGAATCTCACCCTCTACAGCTGCCTCCTCTGGAGAGGAGCCTCTGATTTATTTCCATGATTAGCAATGGCCTGTTCCGATTCACAGAACCATGGAATGGTTTGGGTGGAAGGGACCCCAAATCCCACCCATTCCCTCCCTGCCATGGCAGGGACACCTTCCCCTGTCCCAGGTGCTCCAGCCCCAGTGTCCAGCCTGGCCTTGGGCACTGCCAGGGATCCAGGGGCAGCCACAGCTGCTCTGGGCACCCTGTGCCAGGGCCTGCCCACCCTGCCAGGAACAATTCCCAATTCCCAATCTCCCATCCATCCCTGCCCTCTGGCAGTGGGAGCCATTCCCTGTGTCCTGTCCCTCCATCCTTGTCCCCAGTCCCTCTGCAGCTCTCCTGGAGCCCCTTCAGGCCCTGACACATGGACAGTTCTGTGAAATAGGGAACTTTGGATTTCTACCTATATCATTAACACTAGATTTAAAATTGTACTAGGGCTGGACTTCTAAAACCACAAAATATCTTTAAAAGCACAGAAGCATGATTTTAGAGATCTATTTAATATATCACTGGTCTTGTTCCTGGAAAACTGTAAAGGTTTCCCAGCTGATGGATTGACACTAATTGACACTAATTGACACTAAGTGACAGCAGTTCTG